CCCCCCCAAGCCCCTCTCAGCCACTGTGATGGGATAATTAGATGCGAGGGCTCACCACAGATGATGCTCCAGTTGCTTAGCAACTAATGGTTTCCATAGAAACAGCAAAGCACAGCCTTCAGAGCAGCAAGTGAGCAGTGCAGCAGGGCAGGGAAAGATGCCTTAAACTCCTGCACTGATCCTTTCCTCTAGAATCATTCAGAGGCCTAGAGGTATTAGGGGAATGAGAAGGGGGTGCCTTAAAGATACAATATCCCTGTTTCAAGCAGCAGTGTTAAGAGAATGGTTTTTATCAGACTAAACCTTCACTGATATGATCCTCCTAATCTCAGTGACTCTCAGCTAGCATGATGAATAGGGTTGAATCACAGAGAATGGTCTTACACAGAGGTTTAAGCCCTGAGATGTGGGTCATCCTGTTGTAAGAAGCTGAGTACGATTCCAGCATCAATTCTTGCACCTGGGGTCTGAGAGGGAAACACACGAAAACACACACACAAATATCTTTGCATTTTTCACAGTGCCACAAAATCATCCAGCCTGGCACTGAACCAGCAAGCAAAGGGAGTTTACTCTTGATTTTGCAGCTTCACAATACATATGAAAGTGACTATAAAGCCTGGAGAGCTTCACCAGAATAACAGAGGTCAGATTAATTAACCTTTACTCAAGACTGTCATCTGGTACTTCCTTCAACATGACCAATTCCTATTGCTTTATTATCTTCCTGCTCCTTTCACTGAGTCAGCATACCATGGTTTCTGAACATCGCTGCCAAGTCCTGCAGCACCTGCACTAAATACCATGCATGTGCTGTGCAGCTGCAGTGCTGCAAGGCGAGATCCTATCATCTTGTAAGCTGAGCAGAGACAAGCTCTGTTTGTATTTTGCTAAGAGAGCTCTGAGACACTGAGATGGGGGCGAAGACTCAGTACTACACAGTCTGCACCAGGCCAGAGATGGGCTGCATCACTGCCTACTTGCAAATGACAGCCCTATGTGTTAAAGATTTGCAAACCTCTCCAGTCCTGATGGCACAGAAGGAAGTAAAGAAACTCATTGCAAAAACAAGCCCTGCTTTCTTCTCCTCTCCATCCAGCCTCACACTTGTGACACAATCCCTTTCAGAGAGGGCAAGTGGCCTGTGCCTTGTGCACTGGCTGAGGCACCCAAATTCACTGCTTTTCTGCTCCTTGCTTGGCAGAAGCCTGGCAGTATGCACTCCACTCTGCCATGTGCCATCTCTTCTTGGCAAAGAAATGAAGAACAGGGTGGACCCCTCTGTCCCCAGGGCAGTAGCTGTGGCAGAAGGTGGCATGTACTGCTGGCATTGAGCAGCCAGGCTGGACTCTGGAACCCCTGCATGCATTAGTCAAAGCCACTGAATCCCAGGCGCTGTGTCTCCTTCCCCCTGTCACTGCAGTGTTACCTCACCCTACCCACAAACCTGGGGATGCCGGTTGCAACACCCAGGAGGGTGGAGCATCCCATTGGCCAATTCAGGCACAAGCCAGGTCTCCTTCCTGGAGTCCTGTCCTGACCCCCTCAGCACTTCAGGAAGGTACCAGAGAAGAGACACTAAAAAACTTGTGGGCCATTTCAGACTCTGTCCCCTATGGCTTTCAAAGTAGGAAATCAAAGGGAAATGATGTGCTTTGTTCCACAGGGGAGCGGCAGGAAAGGTGAGCAGAAACGAGCCTGGCGGAACCGGTCGCTTCAGTCGTCTGCTAGCTCACCTTTGAAGTGATTTTTAAAATCACGGAGGAGGGGCAGATATGAGTTCAGCTCTTTTACTGCAACTTCACAGAATTTGAAGACATGGAGGGTAAGAGGCCACCTTTCCCCCACCAGAAAAATAGTGTATCCATTCAGAGAGAAGAGAATACAGCTAATAAAATAGGCTGCAATGCTCATCAAGTAGATCTGCAGTGTTCTCACATCCTGAGGGGCCTATGAACAGCTACAATGACAGCAGCATCTACCAGCGGAACCATCAAAGACATGCTAGTCATTCGCAGGAGTAACTGGTGAATCCCGACACAGCCCCGGGTCCTGCGCCAGTGGAGCAAGCATCTCTCACCAGTCGGAGCCTTCTCTCTGTCTCATGTTCCCCATCATTGAGCCTGCCCATACTTTCCCTGCTGCCTGTCTTTAACAGAAAGGATTGTTTCTAACTCCAGCCCACGCAAATCCTGGGAGCTCTGTTTCTATTACACAGCATCAGCTATTTACTGCAGCACAAGGAATTGAAGCAATGCCAACAGAACAGGAGTGGCCTGGTGTGATGATAAGCCAGGCATCTACTGTACAACCTGTCCTAGGAAGAGGGGAAAAAGGAAGGAGGGAAAAAGGAAGAGGGGATAAAGGACCACTTACTTAATTGGAAATTAATCTCAGTTCTGCTACAGGGGGAAAAATTATATAAACCCCACAGTTGCTTGGCATGACCAGCGTCCTCGAGGGTACCCAGAAATCTACTGAGCTTGCTTCCAAACAAATGCCATGGCTGGGCAAAGTCCAAACAAGAGATGATACCCTTGATGCTCTCATGTTGCCACAGACAAGCAGATGTCACTTTTTATAAATTCAAAGCTTTCAGGGGCTGAGGAATGCCAGAGTCATCAAGCCAGACTCCTATAGCAGCTCTGAATCAGCAGCCAAGTTATAGAGCTAGCCTATCTTCATAGAAGCTCGCACCTAACATTTTTCAAAAACAGGAGCAAATACAGCGTCTCTGGCTTGCTGAGAAGACCCCAAAGAGCACATTCACATGAAGCCATGGCTGAAGGCATATACCTACACCTGACACAAAAGTCAGACCTTGAGAAGCAATTGAGCACACTCACAGTGAAGACTCAAATCTGAAATGTTTTTTCTCATGATTTGCAAACAAGTTTTAATCTGAAGTGCCAGGAGACAGGAATCAGCAAAGAACAAGAGCTCACACGGCCTCTGGTGGCCAAGCCATAGGTTCCAGTTATCCTCCTCCAGCACTGCCAGGCTGCTCTTCTCAGGGCAGCTCCTGGGAAGCAGCACAGAGAACTGTGTCTTCTCGTGGATAAGTGCATCATCCAAATATTCTTCTGTCTTTTATTCACACTGGTGCCTCACACATTGCCCCACGTCTTTCAAAAGCCATGCCTGCCTGAAAAACAAGCAAGTCAAGAGACTTCATCTGCAAGCAAGGTCTACCTATTGCAGGACTTCTTCTACCCCCCAAAATACTCACATTGTTCTGAGATAATTAACATAACTGCATTTAGTCTAGCACTCTTGAGTTTATTTCTGAAGTACCAAAGTGGGTAGGTGAAGTGTCTGTGTGAAAGATTATAGATAATCATAGGCTCAGTGGGTTACCATGCCTCAGCTGATACACACACTACTGTGTGAGGGTTTGACTCCGGGAAGGAAGGGAAAAGCAACTTTGTGGTGTGACAGATCAACTGATACGTGGTAAATTATTAAACTATAATAGCCAGCTTGTTTGCAATACATCCGAAGTTAAATACCAAACTCCAGTCCCAGGAAGGAAAAAGAGCTTTGATTGGAGCATGCATGGAGATTTTGAGGAAAGCAGCCAACTAAATGGGTCCTGCTTGTACCTGAGGATCGTAACAGGGACATTTAATTTCTGCTCATGACTGATTTTTGTCACAAAAGGTGGAAAAACCATGTGACTGTAGTCTTTTACTTCTAGCAGAAGCAAAATCATACTGATACTTGTGGATTGCCTAACAAGAGCTAAGCAAATCTTGATACAGTAGAAACTACCACACTATTGAAGAGGCAAAATTGAGCATCCTAGATCCTCTGAGAAGAAGGTTTTCTTTTCAAGAAAAGCTTGGTCTGGTGTAACTTATTTTTCAACATCTCATCTCAAAAACCACAAAGGGTGAGAATGACAACTGCAAAAAGTACAGGAACATTTGGCCCCATGCCGGGCAGAGCAAACCTGCTGTGGGAAAGGCACCTTTATCTTTTCTTTTATCATATAGAAAAAAATCCCAAGTAAATCGAAGCCTAACCTCTGATGCAAGGGTCACAGAATTCACCCTTATGCTGAGATTCTCTCAACACCATGGCACTAAAATTATGGCACGATCATTACCTACAATTGCCAAAAGCAGCCTCTTTCTGTCTCCTTGTTCAGACAAGCAACAACTCCCTGATGCACTCCTCCACTACAAACATAACCTCCATCCTCCTACAAAAATGCCTCAACATATGCAGAGTCTGAAATCTAGTTCCTGCTGGTTACTAAGCCAAAGATTGGATTTTGGTTTCCATCCCCATTGCCTATCTCTCCTCTGCATGAGCAGAAAAGTAATGGCAAGTGGGTGAATAGGATGAGTATGTATTGCAAACATCTACTCACAACACAAACCAAGCCAGTACAGTCACCAGGACACTGGGTCTAGGAGATGACACCATGCCATATAGAGATACCCGCAACCAGCAGGGACAGATCACCAGACCAGCCAAGAAACCCTTCTAATGAAACCAACCTAGTGAGACGAACAAGATAGGCTACACTAACCACAGAGCCCTCATCTCAGCGTCTCACTGCTCAGCAATATGATACCTGCAGCTTAACATGGATAATGATTGAGGCAGCAGCACCACTGCCCAAGCAGTTGTTATGGCCCAAGTAAAAGTTGCAACTTTCTCTCCCTTTCTCCCTGTTTTGCATCGTGCAAGGCAGATCTGTGTAGTTAATATGATCTCAGTCACACTAGTCACAGAATCAATTAAGTTGGGAAAGATCTCTGAGATTGAGTCCAACCTAGGACCAAAGACTACCATGTCAACTAGATCACGGCACGAAGTGCCATGCCCAGTCTTTCCTCAAGAAAGGACTCCACCATCTCCCTGGGCAGCCCATGCCAGTATCTAATCACCCTTCTTCTGAATAAATTCTTCCTAATGTCCAGCCTAAACCATAACCCCTGAGCCTCCTTTTCTCCAGGCTAAATAATCCCAGCTCCCTCAGCCGCTCCTCGCAGGAAACACGCTCCAGACCCTGCACCAGCTTCGCTGCCCTTCTCCGGATACGAGCCGCTCGCCAGAGGCACAGACAGCAGCCAGTCGCACACCCGGCCGTGCGGGCAGGGCTGCGTCCGAGCGCGCGCTCGCGAGAGGCGGCG